AGAGGCAGGTCTGGAGGAATAGAACTTTAAATATCAAGATTAGCAAACTAACTGAGAAGAAAAGCCAATCAGCCAATTAACCTACTACTGCACAGCCTCAGGGCTGGTCTGGAGCGCCAGGTTCTCTGGCGACTGATAGCTAGTGTCCTAAAGCCTCCAGCTGATGCCCCTTCTTCCCCTCCAGCTCCACAGTCACTGGGCATCTTTGCTTTCTATGTCACTTCCTTCGCTGAGCCCACATGGAAATCACATCGTGTTGCTTTGAAATGGTTGCCACGGGAACATCTCCACCTAGTTATTATCTACTCAGGCTCCTGATTATATTAAGTCAGGAGACAGAGATGCAACAGGGGTCTCAGCAACCACCTGCTCTGCATAAAACTGTAATTGCTTCTGCCACGTTCACCTCTGTGGCCACCTGTCTCTCTGAACACTCTTCTCTACATTTTCTCCTCTCTTGTTTTCCCCCAAACAAAGTCAGTAAATGAAATTAGTATGTCGGAAATCAGCCTGGGGATAATGTGAGAAATTACATTCCTTTCCCTCCTGCTTCCTTTCAGTCCTCTGTTTCAGAGCCACAAGTGGAATAAAAATCATTGTCACCCTTTTTCTCATTCCATTCTGTCCCTCCACACTTAGATGTTAAGAGGAGTCTTTTTAAAAGCCTATGATTCCCGATTCCCACACAATGGTGCTGAAACCAGTTTCCTGCTACTCATCCAGAGAAGCTTCTGGAAATTCATATAGATGCCTCTTTTCTAAATGGTATAAAATATAAACAGGAAATGAAATTGGCTATTAACAAGTGATTTTATCTCACATGTCTATTGATCTGGGTGAATTTCTTATGAGGAAGATTTTCTGATCTTTATTCTCAGATTGCAGGTAATATAGGAGGGGTGCTGGCTTGGAGTTCTCTTTTTGTGGGAAGAACCATACAATCCATTGGCACTGTAATTTATTGTCCGAGTCTGGATATTATGATATTTGGAAGGTAGCATTATTAATAAATATGCCTAGACAACAGGTACGAATTAGGGCTATTGCAGGTAAAGCAGGGTGTATATTGTCTCCTTATACATAGATGACAGGTACATGATTACCATAGTTCTCTGCCCTCAAAGAATATGGAGAAAGGAGCACTTCTTGAAGAAGAACATTTGCGCATGTAGAAATTATAATTGTGGCGTTTAAAATCTGGATCAGCAAGAGAGTTTCACTTTGGCTTATCCTCCTACTGCATGTAAATTTGGTTAATGTGAGTCCATTCTTAAAGTCATGGCACTGGGAATTGAAAAGAAAAAAATGATGTTAACAAAGGAAAATAGACTGGATTGAATGGATCTATAGAGATACCATAAACTCCTTTACCTCAATTAACAAATCTAACTTAAAGGTTGGTAACTTTTTGTTCTGTAAGGGGTCATATACTAAGTCTTTGGGACTTTGTGGATCACATGGTCTTTGTTAAACTGCTCTCCCATTGTAGGGTGAAAGCAACTGTAGACAACATGTAAGCGGATGGGCATGGCTGTATTCCAATAAAATCTTGTTGACAAAACAGGCAGGATACTGACACAGATTGCACAGGTGCACAGAATGCACAGGTGCATTAGCTATTGTTTGCCCATCTCTGTTCCAGTTCTGTTTTAATACCTAGGAGCTGTGTTCTGATCGAAGGGCAGTTATTTTAGATATGAGTTCTGATGTCTCCTGTCCTATTGTGACAGGTTGGGGTTGTGGCTAATGGGAGAAGTGCATGGATCTGACTGCTTAGTGCACGCTTTTGCTTGTGCATGTTTCAGCCATTCAAGGCGTAGCTGAGGTGGGTGGAAGAGGGTAAGCTGTCATGGACACGCTGGACAGGCAATGGCAGCCGTGTGGTTCTCACGAAGTCTTGTAGGAGGAAGGCTGCAGGGATGCAGACACAGGGAAGACAGGTTATGGTGAGACAGTTTTTCCTGCATTTTTTTTTTAAAGCTCTAGATGAGATTCTTGGGAGAGTTTACAGAACTGAAGGCACTTGAGGAAAATGGTCTGTGCCTATTCTTGGAAAAATTGACTCAAAATTAAGGTAAATTGCATTAAAAAATCACTTGAATTTGGTACTTATGGTGTAGAATTGGAATCGGCAGGTAAGACTAAAAGTTTTTGGAGGAAGTCCCAAAATATTCTTAGGGGGTTGTTTTACATTTTTTTATAAGGTTATATTTAAAATGTTTCCCTTTAGGTGGAAAGCAGACACTAACAGCTCAGGCAAACCACAACATGGACAAGGATGAGATCAAAGAGAATTAAGTAGATTGTATACTATAAGGCAGTAGGAGATAAGACACATATATCTTATGTGACTCTGTATGACACAGATATCCACACATCTGCTGCTATTGAGTGACAAGCTGCTTCAGTTGTAGACTAAGGAAACTGTGGAGAGTGACCACAGTCATGTCATTGGTTCTAGACAATGGAATGGGTAGTATCACAAATAAGAAAAAGTCTCAGAGGGCTTCAGTTCTATCTGAGCTGCTCAGTTAAATGAAGAGGATGATTGACATTTATAATTATTTAATATCTTTTTGAGGAGACCCTTCATTCAGTAAGTTGACAGGAGTTGCTAAAAGGTCAACAACTATCAAGAGAATATCATTTAGGATCTTGTAGTCTATGTAGGGATGAGGTTTTTTTGTATCTAGGAAAAAAATTGAGACAGCTTATAAAACGAAGTACAGCAAAGGTAAATTAATATTGCCTTAGCATATGTTACTGATAAAGAGACATGAGTGAAAGGGTTATCAGAGTGGAGTGCAGACAGAGGAGAAGGGGAATTATAAGATGGATGGCCAACACTGTCACTCAATGGGTGGGAGGTCATGAGCAACAGGCAAGGTGAAATGGGGATGAGAGCAACCTGGGTCAGGGGAAGGAGGCTAGGGTTGGGTCTAGGTGCCAGAAAGTTCCTGGAGGATCTGCAGCAGAGGGATGACAGGAAAGCACCGGGTTACAGATGATCTATTATATTGTGAATAATATAACAATGAAATATTGTTTACATTGATTTTCTGTTGACATTTTTTCTACATTCCAATTTTTTTCAGCTTAAAAAGTAAAAGAATGTATTGGAAAATCCAAGTGTTACAGAAGCCTAAGATGTAGACAGTTAAATATTCCATAGTTCCACTTGCAAAGATAACCATTCGTAGCAGTTGAGGTTGCTCATTAATACTAGGATAAATAAATTTTAAAAAAGAGTTTATCATTTGGAACCTTGGAATTATAGGGGGAAATGTCTCCTATTTTCCTAATTTGTTCATGCTGTATATTAGAACCCATGACATAACATCTCATTTACTACTGAAAAGAGGCTTTTTGGTTTTTTTTTGCCTCTAACCCTCAGAATGTAGTGCTGTTGAGGGTCCTGGTCTACATGGCACAGTAAATTAGGCCCTTGCTCATCCCCATACTCCTTGGTGAAGCCATATGGCTGGGACCTGGAAATCCATAGAGGTTAGAGGCTGTCTCAAGGGGTAACTTCCATGGGTAGCTGGAACAACCCATTCAGGGTTATAAGGAGGGGTTAAGAGACACTGTCGGCTTCCCTGGTGGCTGAGCAGTAAAGAATCTGCCTGCCAAAGCAGAAGATGTGGGTTTGATCCCTGGGTCAGGAAGATCCCCTGGAGAAGGAAATGGCAACCCACTCCAGTATTCTTGGCTGGGAAATCCCATGAGCAGAGGAGCCTGCATACTACAGTCCAAGGGGTTGCAGAGTCAGACACAACAGCGACTAAACAACAACAGCAACAATAAGAGACACTGTCGGAGCGCCTCACAGGCTGTGACCAAAACTGCATTAGTCTAGTGACTCAGATTCTAGCCTCTAAAATGCAGTTTTGGGGGAATGGGTGAGGGAGGTTGTCTCTAGTATGAAAAGAGTTACTCCAAATCTCTGTCTCTGAAAGAACTGCAAAAACAGATATTGCACACTGATATGGGAGGTGAATAAGCCAGGAGAAATATACTCATGTCCATCCTTCATTGATCTTGGGAGGATCTAAGGATCAGAAATAGCAAGTTCCAGTTTCTTCTAGTAATTTTCAGGGGTCAAGATAAATCAAATTACATCTTGAGTTAAACTTGTTTATGCCAAAGAAAAGTAATACTTTGTGGGTACAACCCAGCACTTTGAAATTTATGGATGGGAAGTGATATGAGAACCAAATACTGAAAACCTTGCAGTAAGTTGTGAAATATACTCATTTTTCTTCATTCCCTACCCCCAAGTCCCAAGTGAAGGATGATGGTAATAAAAGACATGAAACCTGGAGTGGTGACTGTTACTGGTTTGGGTTTCCAGAGGAACCTGAGATTAAGAGAATTATGAACCAGAGGTTGAGCAAATCTCCAAAAGAGGAATAAAATATAAAGTGGAAAGGTAGCAATAAATGAACTTCTTAAGTAGTCATAATGGAGGAAGTAGCAGCAAGTATAGACTGAAAGGACTTTGCCATGGTGAAGAGTTCTACCAGGAGTGCGAGAAGGGACCTCAAAGACTTAGATTAGATAAAGAAGGGAAATAAGATAATGGATGGTTACTAAGGGCAGTGGTAGAATAGGTTTCCTTGTGGAGTTTTAAAAATAAAATAGAATCTCATCTGGTCTAAAATAGAATCTCATCTGGTCTAGTCCTGGCTGAAGGTGGAGAGAAAGTCCTGGATAGTGGAGGGAATCGTTTCCTTGTATAGGGCTTCACAGTTTGGAAGATTTACATTTTTCAAGCTGACAAGACTTCATTGGACACCCCACTGCCACCCAAGCTCTGAGAGGTAGGGCTGGGCTGAATGGCTTGAAGGAAATCTAAAGACCAAGGGTTAATTTGCAATTGGGAGGGGAGACACAGAGGAAGGAAGGCAGACCTCCGAGGGTTTTGAAGTTCAGAGGGAAGTGAGAATTTTTTTTTTTTAAAGGAAACGTTTGTTCCTTTCCAGGTACACTTGATTACTCACTGTTAAGGAGGCGGAAGTCGATGAATGGGTAGGAACCGCGGCGTTCAGCAGGAACCCCCGTCTGACCCCTCAGTCGTACATCTCCTAGAAAACAAAATCCAAACAAATGTTTGAAAATGTTGCCAAGTGTATTCACTTTTCCTCTGCAAATTCTCTTACCCACTTATGTCACTGGAACCAACACCAAATATCGGGAGAAAAACGATTCCATTCACTTTGTTTAAGAGAGCGCTATTGTGGAAAGGGATGTTTAATGAATGCTGAGCGTAATGGACTTGGCAATATTCTAACCAGTGAAGCAGCTCGCCTTTATATCTATAGGTCTGTGAACATTTTGGTGATTTACAAAGTTCCCATAGTTTTTTTTATTCTTCCTATTGCCATAAAGATGAAGCATCTTAATCTGGAGGACAAATAGCATGCTGGGATTAGAGCGTTTATTCGAATTGGAAGTTTTAATTACCCACAGTTCTGTTTCTCTTGGTCCAGCAGAGTTGTTTTTTTCTCTGACTGGCATCCACCTTCTTTGCTTCTCAGGTTGTATCATTTGACCTGCCTTAGAATCTGCCAGGGCCCATTGAGCTCCTAGTACTTTAGACACTCAATGTATAAAGTTTCTAGTGTTAAATCGTTTCAGTAGCATCCAACTCTTTGCAACCGACTGGACTGCAGCCAGCCAAGCTTCTTCTTCTCCATGCAAGAATACTGGAATGGGTTGCCCTGCCCTCCTCCAGGGGATCTTCTTGACTCAGGGATTGAACCCATGTCTCTTATGTCTCCTGCATTGGCAGACAGGTCCTTTACCATTAGCACCACCTTCGCGGGTGCTAAAAGTTTCTAGTACTTATTCACTTGTTGTTGTTCAGTCACTAAGTCATGTCTGACTATTTGTGACTCCAAGGACTGTAGCCCACCAGGCTCCTCTGTCCTTCACTATCTCTCAGAGTTTCTCGAATTCATGTCCATTGAGTCAGTGATGCTATCTAACCATCTCATCCTCTGTCGTCCCCTTTTCCTCCTGCCTTCAGTCTTTCCCAGCATCAGGGTCTTTTCCAGTGAGTCAACTCTTCACATCACGTGGCCAAAGTATTGGAGCTTCAGCTTCAGCAACATTAGAATAAGGTAGACCTTGGATAAACTTAGCTCAGACACTTGCTAGTTGTGTGATATTGGAAACTTTATTTCTCTGAGCCTCAGTTGCCTCACTTCAAGGTGCCATTGGCTGGATAATCTAAAATAACACTTGCTGCCTGCAAATAAATGCTGGTTTTACTTCCTTCTACACACCAGCAAAGCTGGGATCATATTTTGTGTTCTGCATTTCTCCATAGTGCTTTGTGTGTTGTCTGGTATTTAGCAGACTCTAAGTGAATGTCTTCTATTGACTAGAATAGATATAAAGACCAAATCCACCAATTAGTACGTATAACATGAAATCAGAGAGGTAAAAACACATGAGACCCAATATATTTCTGAAAGATTTGAACTGGGGAAGGTTTCAGTCCCAGGAGTAATGGGTCCACTTCCATAAACCACTCTTTCCTGGACATGAGGTGGTACCAGGGCCTCTGCCTATGAATGGAGAGGAGGAACAATCTTCTCTCCTTAACTCCTGGAGTTTACCAGGGCCTGGGTGAGATCTCCATCAGTTATAGTTCATGTGACTGACTGTTTAAAATATTCCTCACAGATGGGCCTTGTATATACATCGGCTTATGAATTGCAAGCTGTGAGCCCTTGGGCAATTCTTGCTTTGAATTTTATATTGATGCTTTACTTAATGGTTTGTATAATCTGATGTTGTAGTCCCATATTGATATTAAAGAATGTCACAATTTACAGAATACAGCAAAGTGGGAGGAGGAGGGAAAGGATGGAAAAGTACATTTCAAAATATGAATATAATGAATATAATCTGGCATTAAACAAGAGAATGCTAGCATTTGATAAGTTCATTGGGGTGGATGGTCAATAGTTATAGGAAAACCACTGGCAAAACATGAAGAGTTTTTCTCTCTTCGGGTTGTCTTCAACATCTTTATAACTCTCTAAGGAGTTTACAAAAACTTTCACAGACATTACAGTACATTTATTTTCTTGTTTCTCTCTTTGGATCTTCACAATAACCTTGTAAGGAGAACCACTATTATTCCTCTTACTTTATAGGTGAGAAAACAGAGGCTCAGAAAAGAGGGTGGACTGCTATTTCACCCTACTGGTCCCAGCTCAGGTCTCAGGCCCCTTAAAGGCATTTAGTAGACTGTATTTATTTATTTTTAAATTTCATTATTCTTTATTGAAGTATAGTTGTTTTTACAATATCATACTAGCTTCAGGTGTATAGTATAGTGATTCAGTGTTTTTAATAGATTATACTGTTTTAAATGTTGTTATAGGATGATGACAATAATTCCCAGTGATCCTTGTTCCTTCTCTATTTTATACATAGCAGTTTGTTTCTCTTAATCACATACCCACATCTTGCCCCCTCCTCTTCTTATTCCCCTCTGGTAACCACTAATTTGTTTTCTGTATCTGTGAGTCTTTCTGTTTTGCTATATATATTCATTTGTTAATTTTTAGATTCCACACATAAGTAATATCAAATGTTTTTGTGGTTTTCTGTTTGACTAATTTCACTGAGCATAATATTCTCTAGGTCCATCCACGTTGTTGCAGTGGCAGAATTTCATTCTTTTTTATGACTGAGTAATGTTTCACTGTGTATATATACTGTATCTTCTTTATCCATTTGTCTATTGACTTTGACTGCCTGAATTTATGGTGCTTTAAGCTTACAATTAGCAGGGTTAGTCCTTAAATCTAGGTTGTTCAGCTTCATAGGCAAAGATCTCTCCTCGATACCATTGATTTTTAGCCCTATGAAGTGTACACACCTGGTTTCTAAAGTTAAAAAAGTCATAGACCCCCCCATGTTAAAATTATACAACAAATTCAGCACTGCGTTTAAATGAATTTATATTTTATGAGTGACAGTAAGACACACACTTGAAAACCTATGCAGAGATGATACTGTCTTCATTTGGTGGAAAGCTGGCTGGGCTTGTGGATTTGTTTACCTACTATGTCATCCTTTTGGGCTTTTCCTATGGGTTTCAGGCTCATCAATCACAATTCACTTCTTCATTAGTATTTTCTTCTCAGTTTTACCAAACAGTGCCTCCTACTTTTGTAGTTCTGATGGTATTATTTTCCCAGAAAATTTCTAATATCATTGTGGGTTTTAAAGCCTCTGCCAGAGTTTATTCCATTTGTCCATCTGAAAGTCTAAGGCAGAGATGACCCATTATTTTCTAAGACTTTAGATTTAGAGAAACTGTGAGGAGACAGCACCAGGTGGCAGAGTGTGTAAAAAGGGGATGATAAGCTAGGATCAGGAAACTCCTGTTACCGAGAGGATTAGCATTTTGCTATCTTGGGTGACCTTGGGCTAATCAATAACCACTTCGAGGTCCAATTTTTTAATATTTAAATTTGTATTATGTAGCATTTTTCCACATCTCATAGGACTGTTGTGAGGAAATTATCAGTGCCTGAAAAATAACATGTTAACGTTATTGAAAATAATGAATAATGATAATAGTTAACGCTATTGAATACTTATGCTGTGCTGAGCATTTCTCATGCATTGTCTCATATTACCTACCCAACAACTCATCGAAGAAGCTATTAATATTATTATTATACCATTCACCAATGAGGAAACTGAGGCCAAATTTGATATTTTGTCTGTGCTCAGAGCTAGTGAGTGGAGAGTTTGTGCTTAAACTCAGAACTGGTTCCAAACCCCATGTTCTTAATCAACCATCCTTCTATAGTATCAGGATAAAAAACTTGTATAAAGAGTTAAGCATTAACTTCTTATTGCATAATGTATGCTCTGATTGTTTTTGCCCATAAACCAAGTATATATTCATCATGATTCCTGGAAACTAAATACCAGGGAATCTAGCCCCTTGATGAATTTGAGATTCAATCAGATAGATGTTTATTCAAATAGCACTTCAGTACAGTATACTAACACATATATATGGAATTTAGAAAGATGGTAACGATAACCCTATGTGCAAAACAGAAAAAGAGACTCCTATGTATAGAACAGACTTGTGGACTCTGGGAGAAGGCGAGGGTGGGATGTTTCAAGAGAACAGCATCGAAACATGTATATTATCTAGGGTGAAACAGATCACCAGCCCAGGTTGGATGCATGAGACAAGTGCTTGGGCCTGGTGCACTGGGAAGACCCAGAGGGATTGGGTGGAGAGGGAGGTGGGAGGGGGGACCGGGATGGGGAATACATGTAAAAAAAAAAAAAAAAAAGATACACTAGGGTTGTGAAAAAAAAAAGAAAATAAATAAATAAATAAATAAATAAAAAACAAAAAAAAACCCAAAAAAACAAATAGCACTTCAGTGGAAATGGACTGTATGAATAAGACAACCAAATCCTGCCCTGGATCAACAACACATCTATTATTTTTAAGTAAGAAATGGAATGCAATTATTAAAAATATTATTCAGCAGAACTCAAATGACCTGGCAACTAATTTACTCAAGCTCTTTGGCCTGGAGAATTCCATGGACTGTATAGTCCATGAAGTCGCAGAGTCAGACATGACTGAGTCACTTTCATATTCTTTCTTTCTTAATTAAGATAATTTTTTTATGATGCAATCCCACTTCTGAGAAAAAGAGACAAATAACAATGAAACACATTGATAGCAAAGATACCCAAACAAACAAATCAACAACAACAACAACAAGCTACAGAACCCATACTTGAAAGATTCTGTTAAATGGTTATTCTGGCTGTAACTACAATTACAACCTGGGAAGCAGATACTCATAAACCTAACAACGGCTATTAGGTGTAATAGATCATTGCTTTAAAATAAAGATAAAATCCTGTTAAAAATACTAAGAGTCAGGACGACTGTAAGTTGGCCAACAATGCATTTCAGGAATTTTTCAACATGAAAAGTTAAATACAAACCAAAGAGGTATCTTGAGGGTTTTATTGAAGCAAAGCTTGAATGGGGTAAAATGAATGTTCTCAGTATAAT